AAAAAAAAAAAAAAGAAGAGCAGTAAAAAACAATAGCTATAATTTTAGACCAGAGTACAGGTGGATTGTCGTCTATGAGACCAAAAATCAGTGCCATAAAAAATGGCTGATTGCTAAACAGACAATTGTATTGCACTGTGAATGCAGCAGTGAAGTTGAGAGCAGACAAACCAGGAACCGGGAAAGCTGTTCTTTTGCTAGGTACTAGTGCTGGCTTGATGTTTATAGTTAGATGATCATTAGTCAGTATCAACTCACAATAAGCAGATCATAGATGTGCAAACATAAAACATACATATAATAAGCAATCAGTTTCGGATGAAAATGGCGTCAGAAAAAGATGGAAAAAGCAATAGCAGTAAAGGCAAAAGAAAAAATTTTTAGTATGTCTGATGCATATTTTCCGTTAGCATTTATCACTACTGCCAACAATAACGACTGCTAGTTTCTTTTTTCATTATTCTAAAAGGCCGTTCCTCTACTCAATTAAAAAAAAAAAAGACAAAATTTTTCTTCTTTTTTACTTGGAGAAGGAATTCCAAACAATTATGGATAATATACAGTAAATCATGTTAGCAGTCTTTATCCCCCTCTGTTACATCACTTTTTCTTTCTATTTTTGCTAAAAGTGTATTTAAACAATTGGAAAAAAATTATGCTTGTTCTGAAAACCGTTTAAATATTTCAACAAGTTGATTGCCTATAGCTGACAGATTAAAAATTCAATATTTCTAATCACCGTCACTTACGCCATAGTGCCATTCTGTTATGCATGTTTTCCCCTTTTTTTTTTCTTGGAAATTTAAAAGAGAGGAAAATAACTAAATATCTGCTTTCAAAATTAAGACAACAAACGATTAAAAGCATCTAGCTTGTTTTGGTTTCTTCTATTTTTTTTTCTCAAAAATTAGCATCAATGAAAGCATACAAAGAGCAAAAATGAAGAATTAGCCTGGAATTACAGCACCCTATTAGGGAATGACAGCAAACCACTAAAAGTGATCTCAAACCAACCTGTTTTTGGTTTTGCAGTGCTGTCTATGTCATTATCCTTCTTTGTTGAGGAATGCACAGCTGACGTCTGTTCATATGGCCATCCTTTTGGTGGGATGCAATCCTGTGACCAATCTTC